GGGTGAACAAATATGTAAGCCCTGGGCGTTTTGCGTGTGGCGTGGCCTTGCGTCTGGCCGTGTGCCAACCCGTTGAAGCATCGGCGATCGTGGATTCATGCTTCCCGTGTGCACTCCAAAGGGAGCCGTTTGAATTGCATCAACGGCCATTCCTTCAAGAGCGGTTGTTACAACACGAGCCCTGCTCCAAATGCTTCAGGCACTCCGCTGGCCCCAGGAAACTCCACCCTGGTTTTGCCACTGACGAGTTTGAATTGCGCTGTGTTGAAGGAAATGGCCGTTGATGCGATTCAAACGGCCCCCTTTGGAGTGCACACGGGAAGCGCGAATCCACGATCGCCGATGCTTCAACGGCGTTGGCACACAGCCAGACGCAGGCCACACCACACACAAACCGCCCAGGGCTTACATATTTGTTCACCCTTCCCACCGCGAAGAGCCTTGCCGACGGTGGCAACGACCCCCGCAACTGAACCGTTCGAATCTTCTTGCACCCACAGAACTTTCCTTTTCATGTGACAAGGACCATCATCCATCATCAACCAGCCATACCGCACTTCAGACTCTGAAGTTCAAAGATGCCTATTCATCACCACAATGCAACCCACTTCATAAAACATATATCAAAGGTGCCCATACACACAGTGGTAATGTACATATGTACAAGTCGCACACCATAATGCATAAGTGATCCACCGAGTGAAATAGTGGTCATTATGTGGTGTTGCGAACAGCTCGTCGTGGGATGGTGGCTGGGGCCGCATACACTGGTGCACACTGCAATGTGTCAATACAGTTGTGAAGGGGAGTGGTGCAAGGCCTGCATGGAGAAGTCCCACTGGTCGAGATGTATATCCACACCAGTTCCAATTGATGCTTGTAACGAGAGGAAGTGAGGCCTAATGCACGTCTTGAAGGCACAGTGACATGATCCTTTGCAAGGCAGCCATTTTCTGAACTTGTTCTGGCGAAATCCCACATTATGTTTCAGCAACGAGATTTCCGAAATTGGGATAGCAATGATCGTGATTTGCGCCATGCTTCCAAGGAAGTGCTTGTGCATGTTCACAACTCTAAGGTATTCACTCAACATGCACGGGGCACATGGAGGGGATTCGATTGTGCACGACGGCGTACATGTGGCGATGGGTGATGTTGCGCTGTGTGGTGGCACACCGGGATCGGCCTAGCAGTAAAATTGACATCCAGAGAACCGTTTGCGCAAAATGACCTGTGTCATGCACGCTGTCACACTTGTTTGCCCCGGAAGTACCAGGCATGGTTGGCGAACATTTGGCTCCCCCTTTAAGGCACCTTCCTTGTTTTACATGGAGAGATCACAATCGGCCAACAAATTCTTGTGACAATGTAGCCTGCTAGAATCCAGCAGAGTGCCGGCTTACGAAATTCGTCGCCCATCGTTGCAGTGCAATCACCACTGTGGCGTTTATGTCAGCATGATACTAGGATAGCCTAGCCTAGAGTGGATAGAAATCCTTTGGACGATGGTTCGCAGAATCGACTCCCATGTATTCATATGGATTGGGCCAAAAGTTCAGCTCACTCCTCAGGCTTTCCCTGACGGCCAGCTTCCCTCGAAATTCTGATGCTCAAGGCACGCACACATGCCCCCTCGTTCAAATCTGCTGTAGATCACTACTACTTTGAAGTGCGTCATGTACAGAAATTCGTTTAGGGGCAGATCCCTTTTGGCCGATTTTGTCATGCTGAACGTCAGATTGACGCTAAGGGGGCAGGGCCCAAATGTCTTACGCCAAGCGTTTACACAATTGCCACAGTGTCGAAAAGAGCCGCGCCAAATCCCAAAGTAGTCCTTGACGTGGCGACAACTCCTCGACCATTCAATTTGTGGCTGGTATCCCAAAGGAACACAAGTCACTTTCTGGCATTTCCACAACCAACAGGATGGCTCCAACATGCACTTGAGGTGTGACATGGGCTGATGTCGTCCGATGACCTGGATCACCGCCTCCGATTCAGGATGAGGGTGCTGATCGGTACATGATCCCGGTTGTTTTATGCATATTTGTGCATAGCGAGGGAAGACGCTATGTCGAACTTGGTATGCTTAGTGTCAATTTGACATTAAGCCCAGAAACCCCCAAACCTTCAGAAGCCCCCTATATAGGCCTTCTCTACCTTTCATACGGGCCCCCGAGTGCATGTTTTTGTGGCCTATGACTTGCTTGTGTTGCGTGCTCCTCTTTGCTTCGGAGGCTCTATATCATCCTTCCCACAGCACGGAAAACAGCCTCACATACACTTGGTGTGTGTATCCCTTAATTAACAAATATTAACACCACACCACAGAGAGACACACACACACCCTTAGCATCAATCCTTATGTCGAAGCCTGGACGACTCAGCAACATTACCCAACAGTGGTATTCAATTTCCAGGTGTTTTTAAGGACGAAAACAATCAAAGTTGTGCTGATTTCAGTGGGTTGAAAAATTGGATTCTAAATGCAATTATAGGTGAGGCGGGCAGCCTCAATGGCTGCAAATTGGTCCATTCTAAGGACTTCTTTGTAGATCAAACATTTGCAGGAGACTTAGGAACATGTCAAGGGTTCTTTGCCACTTATCAGTGGCGTTTTTGGGCTCCTTCCCTCCTTATGTCGATTTCGTGGCAATTACAAAATCTCTCAGCGACACAGGTCTGGATCCGCCCCCCCACCCCCCACCCCCACCAGCGTCAGTTTGACGCTATAAGCGTACCAAAATCGACATGGTGTCTTCCTTATCGGTGATAATACGGGAATACCATAACCATTCCATGCAGTGTCATGGTTCCCAACTATCCCACACAAACCAGGAATATGATGTGGCATCGACGTTGACGACCATGCTATGGAAAGGGAACGGTCTGATATTTGCACCAATTTGACATTATGTACAACAAAATCGCCAGTCAGCCACAGCAAAGATTGAAAGTAAACACACTAGGTCAAAACGCGAATGGCATTGTTGCTGGCGTTTGTCAACTCACTATTTTCCGGATATACTGTCTCAGGCTCTGTCGCGCACCAAGAAATAAAGAATAACTGCTCCAAAAAATTACCCTTTATATGTTGTTTGCACCAATCCTTGTCATGATCATCTGGACTCAAAAGCTGCATCCGCATGAATCAATGCTCGGTTATCTGAGCTGCCTAACAAAACAACGGCCAATACGTTTACTAGCCGCACAAACATGGTGATTTTGCGGAGCCCAACTATAGATTCCGCATTGAGTCGGGTACACCAAGTGCTTCAGTGTTTATGCACATGCTCAGAGGTTCAACATCCAAGTTGGCTCCAGAAACGCACAAGCAACTCAAAACGTACAGTGCAACGAATTTGCAGTCACTCGAGTTAAAGCGTGCACCAAGAACCTACAAAGACCGTGGCCCACAGGAACAAGTCTCGGGCATCCCCTTTCGCCTTGTTCACACATGGCCCACATCTACAAGTTGAAACCTGCCCAGCATCACTAACCTGGTGAAAGGACATTACTTAGTGAAGTGGCAAACACAACCCAAAAAAATCACACGGCCCAACATTCACCTGCATCAAGCAGTACACCCCATAAGGGAGCCCATGCCCTCCAGTAATTGACACGTGCCAATTGTCCTGCTGGGTACCAAATCCGGCCAGATCGAATGCCCTTGTTTCCCATGACCTGGTGTCTCAGTCATGTATGAAAAGCTCGGAACGCAGGGGCTCCATCAACAGATGGTTGGACAGCTGCCTACAAATCTTCACAGCAAGACCTTTGTCTGTCAAAGCGTCGCATACCAGGTAACAATCCCAGTCTTGGTCGACCTGGGCGAAGATCGCATAGTGGTCGTCCAGCTGCCAGTGGGTCTGAAAAGCAGAAAGGTGCAGCTCAGTAATCCATGAGAGTGGAAGCACCCTTTGCCGACAGCAACGGCTCAGCAGCCAAGGGCAAAGAATGGGGCACGTGCAACTCAGAAACCATATGCCTCAAGGCTCATGCTGGCATGTCCTTGGCACACACAAATCAGCAGGAAACACTGTGAATACGACATCCTGAATGACAACTGACCAACAGGCTGCACACACACCAATTGACAGCTGCGCTGAGATGCATCACAGCAGCGTTTTACTGCTTACAAGAGCCACATAGCACACAACCTGTGCTCTGCTGTCCTTGTACGGCAGCCCCAACTGTTCAGGCCCAGCATTGATCACTGTACCTGATGTAGTGGAAGTGACATCGACATGTGCCCCTCAAACATGGCAGAATAGGCACAGGACAGAGACCGCATCATGTGCTTGAAGCTGTCCATGTCCTGCTGCAGGGGGCCTGCCTTGGAGCTCACAAACTGAGGGCATGTCTTTGACTTTGACAAGAATATGAAATACTGCAGTGGAGATGCCCTTGCTTTCCCGCCACCTGCCAACCACCAGTCGAGTTTTCATCATCCCTCAACATCAGTTCCCCAAATCCAACAAAAAAAACCCAGTTAAAAAACAGAGACAAATCAAGGGATAGCTCATTGATTTCCTTCCATTCGTCTGTGTCTGTCATGGAAAGGATTCACTGTAGATGCTGAGCTATAATCAGCAATGCAACTGCAAGAAGTGAGACCTGGCACTGCCATGAACAAGCAGGTGGCGCCTCCCAACACCAAAACAATCGAGTTCCCATGCTATGTTCCTAACCAATGTTCCTATGCTTACATAAACAAATGCTGATGCTTGCAGCTCCCAAATAGTACTGCATACATGGAGCTATTCCAGTTTCACGGTCTCATTTGCACAGTATTGTCCCATGGCCATCCATTTTCTGCAGCATCTCCAGAAACTAATGGTGTTAGGTAGCCCACACCAAAATATGTGCTGTATTGGGATGCGGCAGCCAGGTCACATAGTGACAGTTGTTGCCCCTCTGGGCTCTCCACCACATGCCCACCATGAGCCCTCTTCACCTGCGCTTAACTGCCCCGCTTGAATACCTCCTCCCCTTTTATGGCTAACCATAAGGATTGCTGCATACATGCTGGGGCTGCTGGATCTTTAAAAAATCTTGATTTCTAGACAGCTCCTCCTTTTTCTTTTTCTGTTCACCACTGCCATCAGCAATGTACAGCAGGTGGTTGAACTACTGACAGTCTTGAGGCATACTGTTGACTGGTTGTGTCTCAAAGGTTGCAAAGGCAGTACACTTTGTGAGGGCGTCAACAGCAACAAAAAGGCACACAATGTGCAACATGCAAAACGCATAGTCACCATTTGTACATTGGCTACCTGCTGGGCAGCATCGTGTATCACTTCCATATGCACAAAAAGAACGTCCCACAAGCAACTCCCAAGCGACTTCCAGCTCCACCAGGCACAACATCTTTGGCCCCTTGTGGCAGCTAAAATTGACTACCTGCACACGTTGTGATTCCCATTTCACGGCAAATCGATGCCCTTGCACCTTGCAAGCAAAAGCGGCGGCACTCTTTCATCCACGCTGTGCATTTCACAATATTCATGGGTGACGCTGCAGCCTCACACAGCGCAGGACCACCTGCTGTGTGCCTCACCTGCGACAAGGGGCAAATCCTCTATCTGGATTTGTCCCATACTGTGGCCACCAGAAACGCCCTTCAGCACTTGGAGCACCCCTGCCTCATGCAGAACCTTCTCCATGCCCACTCGGGCAACAGACCCCAAATGGAAGGTGTCTTGGTGGGTCATCAGGAAGATCACCACGATGCCTGATGCTGCACACAAGCCACAGGGATTGTATGTTGTTTGCTTACCCACATTATGACCACCGTTTCACTGTGTGAATCATTTATGCTTGATGCATGGCGATTGGTAGGCATTCTTTTGCTGCTTGAGATGAGTGGAAAGAAACACTGCACAGAAAAACATTGCCATGTAATATGCAAAGGTTATTCATGCCGAGATGCCACTATTCCTGGTGCGGCATTGAGGTGGCGGTTCCCAGCCTATGCATAATCCTTTGCTTGCAAACAGGCAATTTGTGACACAAGGAATAACAGAAATGTTCATGAAAATCTCTTAAAACTATTTCTTTGATTGAGTTCTGGAATCGTTTGGTCTAATTTGGCTCCTGAGGTAGTTTTGATCACACTCATGTTTGTTGGTGACAACATGAGCTTTATGAAGAACGCCATGCAATTCAGAGAGATATGCTTTGGTTATGGTGTTTTGTCCACAAGGTGCAAAGGTGTCTTGTGGGGAAGTATTTGACGCGTCTTTCCTAAAACTTACAGCACCATGGCTGCTCTCTATTTCACTTTGGCTTGCAAGAACCTGTTGTACCTGCATGGTGAAGGGGTTTGGAAGTGGACATATGATTATGACATGTTTCACACGTTGGTTGTGCCTTAGTAATGAGGTGGTGTGTTGCTGAATTATTGCATGGGCGTTTGTGATTGATGATGGTCCCTGGGGGTCGAATAGGTGGATGTGTGGCTGTGAAAGCAACAAGAAATCGGGTTGTGAGGTGCTGCCATAGGCAAGGAAAGTTGTGCTTGGACTTGGAACCAGGCAAGCAAATACATGTGTGGCTGTGGCCTTGTGCGCTGCCGTGTGCCAACGCCGTTGGAGCATCAGCATTCGTGGATTCACGCTTCCCGTGTGCACTCCAAAGGGAGCTGTTTGAATCGCATCAACCGCCTTCACTTCAAGAACACAGTGATACTGGCCACATTATCAGGATTGATGCTGCAGCAACTTCAGGAAGCAATGTCACACATTCAACATGGCCTTTGTTGCAACAACCAGAGTTGTGGCAAACTTGATTCTGGCATACTATGTATGCTGCAATGCAAGATCCAATGCTCCAGCACAGATACAAAACTTGGCCTGTGGGTGTACGTTCCCACAGGAAGATCACATGGAAGCTATTCTCTGGACTCACTGTTGCTCCACCAACCCCACAGTCTGCTGGGCCTTGAAGGTCAGGCTTCTGAAAGTACTGGAAATGTGGCAAGCAACGGCCCAGACCAGAGCTCATGGCGCTCAACGTGCAGCTACTGGGCAGTCCAAGACATGGCACAACCCAGGCCACCATGAATAGATGGAACTCAACAACCATACACATGCGCATACTCGTGAAATCGGACATGGCAGTTCTAACAGGGAAACTGCAACATGGTGACCATTGATGGTATTTCCATGCTCTACAACTGCCACCACAATCTGGTGCTTGCAGCTGTGCTGCTTGCAAGCCTCAATGAGCAGATCATTGGCAAGGCAATCTTGCACTGAACAACCCTAGGGCATCTGACGAAGGAGAGAAAGGCCAACACTGCACAGCAACGAGCACCAGAAATGCTGCGGCACAGCACTGCAGCAAGGCCAACTCGCTGATGGAAGCAGCTGTTGTATCGGCAAATGGCAAACTAACAGGTCACTATGTACAGTATGAAACGGAATGGGTATGCCCGCAATACCTGGGTCTATGCAGTAAATGTAGGCATGGAGAAATGCTGTCATGTGGAGGTGCGGCATGCAGATAGGTGTGCTAAACTCAGCTCCTCCCCGCTCCCTGAGACACCAGAAGCTGTGGGACTCAGCTGCGACACAAGCGCAACAGCAGGAAATCAGCAGGGAAAACCCACTGCCACAGCTGACACCATTGAGGAGAGAGCTCAAAACCCTGTGCATGAATGTCAGCACAGGGTCCAACTCATGCAGGAGTCCTTGTAATGCCGTTACACAAAAGAGTAAGCAAAGTTAAACAGAGCCACTATCTATAAAGCTAATATTACCACACAGCTGAAACAGGGCAAAGCTGGTTGATGTGTTGACAATGGCCATTAACAAAGTACTTCAAATGGTACATTTTTGTCCATAAAAGATAATACAACATGGGCCTCATATCATTAGGTGCTGTTCCAGTACCCCAATGATCCTAATTTCCCATTGTGCACCCACCTGTATTGGCTGTTGGATACCACAAAATTGATAAGCAGGATAAGGTCCTGAACATGGAGTGGGGCACTCTTGTCTTGGGATAAAGCTACAAGCTGATTGGACACCAAGAGCATTCCACACTTCGCACCGCAATGCTGCACAAAAAACACATCCACATTTAGCATCACAGGGCAGCCAAATAAACAGGGGCATATCCACTTCCTCAACAACAACACAACACAAAGGGTGCTACACATCATGTAGAGATGTGCATCACATACCTCTTGTCCCTTGCCTTTGCCACTTACTTTTGCACTTACTGCTACAATCATCCAATGATCTATCCACCAGTGTCTGTGCAAAGAGATTTAGTTGAACAATATACATCCTCTTATGGCACTAGTTGCCAGCGATCGATAATCTCAGTGCACTTTGTTTCCCTGTTCTCCTTTGCATTGTGCAAATCAACTTCTACCATAGTACTTCTACCAAAGTATCAAAAACAGCGGTATCAGTGTTAAATTCCGTTCAAACATACAAAATGACATCAAAAATAGAAAGACCAGATCTTAAACCTTTAGGAACTACCCTCATCCACCAAAGAAATTCAATCTAGAGCCATTTTATCATGCCTCAAAAAGCAGGTTGCATCAGCCACCAGATCCTGCCTGACAGCATCCTCCAACACGGTTTCCCCCCGGTTTGCTCCTACTCCTTGCCAACGTGGGGCAACTTGAAATTGTTGCCACCTTCTGCCTCAACTATGCACTCCATAACAGCAAACAACGAGCGGCACACGCACTCAACGTCTCAAAAGAGTGTTTTTCGAAAGTTCTGTCGTGCTACTGATGATGTTTTGGATCGATCCTCAAGAACGAGTTCTGTCAGAGATCTGTTGTAGGCTATTGAACAACACAAGATCAAGCACGTTCAAGTCTAGACTATTGCTTGGTTGGTAGAAGATCTTGATCTCCAACCCTTCAGAGCAGAAAGCATCCTCCAATCGAGGCTAAATCGGCACTTTTCAATGCGGATGTACCCCATCGATTTGGATCACCACAGAGGTCTTCAAGTGCCAAAACTCCTTTCAAACAGCTTGTAAGACTCTTGACCATGTACTCACAAAAAAAAACTCACCCATGACGTTGATTGGTTTGATCTCCGGCGCTCCCGGGGCCTATTTTTGGATGAGCGCTAGGCAAGGACTTTCTCCACAAAAGGCCAAAGGCCAACAAGGGCAATGAGCCATGCACCATCTAGGTGCCTTTGGGGGCGAGCAATGGCAGTGATGAACATCACTTTTGTGATGGATGCTTTGTTTTAAGGCAGGAGCTCGCCTTCTTCAGGTAGCAACCAGACCTTGCGCCCGTCCTTCAATGCATAAAACCAATTCTTGTCCACATGCACAACATTTTGGGCAACGCAGAAACATGGATTTCGAAGATCCCCAACCACTTGATTCAACACCCAACGGACACGAGCAAGTCTCTGCTCCTTGTTGAGTTGAGGTTTTGTCATTTTGCGAGCACGTCTCCAACCTAGCTCCCCCAACAGCTAGTGCAAGATCGATTTCGAATTTTTGTCTTGATTGCCATATCTCAAATTGTGCACCGCTTGCAGGGTGGGATCATGGCCACTTTAGTCGCCAACAGCATGCGAGGTATCTTGTGGCGCCCATTGTTTCTTTTATATGTGCGAGATAGATTCATGCGACTAAGATCGCGAGCTGCCGGCCGTAATTGTTTCCTAATCTGCTCAACCGTTCTGTAACAGATCTCAAATCGATGGGTGAGCTCATCGATCACACCTTGGGACGCATTAGAATCCCTCCCCGTGCCTCTCCAACTCCACTCCAACTTGTAGATGAAAGGGTGTGGGCAGCCCTCGCTTGTCCGCTTTACGGGGGGGCGGCAAGTCGCCATGGTCAGGGCCCCTTTCCGAGCCACCGCACGACAATTTGTCCAACATACCCATGTTTGAAAGGGCACATCTTCTTTGGTACTTAGCCGATTGATCTGAAAATTTGGCAGGCTAAAATTGACATAAATTTCAATATTTGACCAAAGTTTCAACGTTGTTGAAGATGTTTTAGTGTGTTTTCTGGAGGCCACGAACCATGGCTGACAAACTTTTGGGGACGGAGGAAGTATATTATACCATTCCACATTGGAACCTACCGTTGGGCTTTTGATGCAAAGTAACAATAAAAAGGCAACGATGCCAAGGAAATATGGAGCAGGCCCAGCTGCGACGCGAGGGTCTCTCGAGTGCTTGTGGCATCTAGCGGGCCCAGATGCATATGTCGTTGTGATAAAAACTGGCATTGAGGCCATGTGATCTGAGCAAAGTTGCCACTCTGCCTGTGGCCATGATGCAGAGCACCCCAAAATAAGCGTCTGTAGGAGACATGTGGAGCAAAACTTACAACGCTGAGATTCAAAAATGCGGAAAGGTTGCATATACTACAGTACGCAGATCAACTTCCATGCGCATCGGAGAGGATGTTCAGCATCTCATTGCAACTGCTCAAACGCCCCAAACATTAGGTGCAATTCCGGTTGGGCAGGATACCCACCTTTACAGCTGTGTTCAATGCATCCGCTGCTGTCGACCTCAGGTCTGCCCTCATTCGCACAGGGCAAAAGGCCTCAAGGAGGTAGGACGGGTTGCTGCTAAATCCTCCTATCAATGTTTCCAGCAGCCCATGGCTGCCCTTCACAAGATTGCGCACATCTGACCCTGGGTTCCGCTCCAGCACGCGAAGCAAAGCTCCAGTAGCAAGGGACAGAATCTGGGAGGCCCAAGAAATGACACGTCAGGCACATTTGTGTTGTAGATATTCAGTGTGTCATGGTGGAAAAATGTCCCTCACCACCTGCCACAAGTGCAGCAGTGATCCTAAACAAGACACCATATGGGCTTCTTGACAGACCACCCACCTGAAAATACATGAGCTCCAGTTGCCTGGTGAGCCAAACAGAAGCTTCCCCAACTCGTGACAGGCCAACCAAGACCATTGGGCCTTTCAGAAGAAACGCAATCCTGCATCTTCCTGCCTGCAGAGTCTTGGCACAGTCCCCCCTGGCCTGCACAACTGCCAGCATTGCCTGCATGATCGCCATGAAGCCAGCCAGCCGTCCCTCATCGCCATACCTGATGACAAGTACCAGCCCACAGGCTGCCACTCAGGCCCTGAAGCAGACAAGAGGACAATGACTGCCTTGGACATCACAGCATCGGCAGTGCAGTGCTGGTTGGCACTCTCTAGGGTAACATGATGGGCTACTCAAGCTTGTGGGGTCGATCAACACCCCAAGGTAACCCGATAAACAAGGGAATTCCTACTATAGATGGAAGAGCTCCATATCACACCACAGTGGGTTGTGCCAAGAAACAACAAAATCTACTCGGACATTTGCCAATAACCATGCCCTGCAACTGGGTGCTGGCTCAGCAGCAGGGCTTGCGTTGTGCCACACATGGCTGAACAGCCACAGACAACAAAGGCCATTAGACAAACTGGAGACACAATCTGCCATTCTCACTATTTTACCATACCACCTGCTGTAAATAGGCTTGCCAGCACTGCTGAATATGAAGAAATGTTTCCCTCGTCTTTTCCATGCCTCGTCCTCCAGTGGCGACAGGCCTTCGCCCTCACTGCCTTTGTAGACCTCAGTGGCCAAATCTGACAGTGATCTTCCGATTGCAGCAGGCTGGACGTCATTGGGCCCCAAATCTTCAGATCTAGAGTCCTCACTGAACCTTGACCCTGAAGACTGTGTCTGTTTATGATAGCCAGAATGGCCAGAGGAAGTTGAGCCTGGAGAGGACAGATTTGTGCCATCATCACGAGCAGCATCTGTCGATCTAACAGGTGTGAGAGCACCAAGATCCAAGGACATCACGTCCCCATCATCTAGCGCTACTTTGCTATCTCCGTTTCTCCCCTGGGTCCTTTCCAGGCAGCACTGTCGGCCATCGTTTGTCAGCAGCTGGTCAGATGCCTGGTGGCTCTGGGAGCTGCCTGCTGGTGGCATACTGCTCTCTGTTGAACCCCACAAGGGGCCCTCCCACCCTGTGTAAGTTGGTAGGTTGGATGATCTGTCCAGGAGGGGAGACGCCCCTTGTGTGCTGTGCTGAGCCTTGCCCTTGTCGTCCCCAGTGCTTCCCTTTCCACAGCTGTCTTGTTGTGAGTTACCGCCAGGATCCTGGGGGCTCGATTCATCAACAGTTAACGGCCCTTCTGTCCTGGTACCATCAGACACTTGGACACATAATGTGTCCACCAGCTTGTCAGATACCTCCTTGTCATTGCTGCCCATCACAAACCCCCTCTCTTGGTCTGCCAGCACAGAATTCGGTCACATAAATGGCAGAGGACTTCACAATCAAAATTAACACAATAACAAGGCCCCATACACAGACCAAACCACAGCAGGATAGTCAATACATCCATGTTGCTTCTTGCACATCGAACAAAGGGAACACCAACGCAAGACATCTAATATTGTATTCAGGCCTCCAAGGAAATGACAACTACGCCACGGCAAGTTCCAGACAAAGAGCCAAGGTTCGATAACACCCCCATTATTCCCCCAGCCACTGCGAAAAGGACACGGCACCCCATCCCAGCCGTTTGTCAAAAATCAGCAGCTGCATAAATAAACACAATATGCAGCACAAGAGAAGGCTTCTAAGTGCAACTTCAAACACCCTATTGCTTGTACAATCTTGTCGCTTCTCAAGAGCTGCAATCTACAACAACTACTGGCTGTTCACTGAAAAGGACAGTAGTAATGAAGCAGGTCTTTCAATGATTTCGCACTGGCATTTCGCACGAGAATTGTGCCATTGGCAATGTTCCTGCACAAATGGCCCTGCAGTGCCAAGAATAAACGACCCTGAAACTGAAACATTGTGTTCCCAGAGCGACTTGATGTACAAGACGCGGACACCCCTGCCCTCCACTCTTGCTGCAGACTACCATCACCGGCCATTGCAGCGCACAGATCACACTAGCAGCTACGAATTTGCACCAAACTCGCAGACTTAGGACCTGGAACAGAGTCGCTGAAACAGCAGACCAGGGGAGCACGATCTCCCACGCAGTTGTCCCAGCGCGGACTCGATCACTGCTTGGCAGGGATGCGTGTGCGCGGCAAGTCGCCCAGACGATACTTGCGTTGCGCTGCCGCTCCTTGAGCATCCTTCAGCCAAGGGCAACCGCACAGCACACGTTTGCCTTCCAGCGTTGTGTTCACATCGGCCACCGAGGCCGCGCAAAACACAACGCGCGAAGCACAGTGCAGGGTGCTCCCACGTTGGCTGCAGGCTTGGGGGGCGCGGGGGCACTCACCGAAGGGCCCGCAGGCTTGATTGCCCACGCCCGGGCCCCGATATCACTTCCAGGCTGCTCGTGGACCGCACGGACACACGGAGTTCCTGCCCTCGCCGGAACTCTCCCCCGCACAAACGCCGTGGGTTCGACGGTATCACACGAACAGCCTGTCCTATTTCTAGAGGCCATTTCTTGACTTAGTTCAGGGACATCCCGATGGCCGTTCACAGGGACAAAACCGCTGGTTGGCGACGTTGGCGACACGTTGAGAAAGGAGGAAGGGGGAGAAGGCGACAGGAATGGCGGTTCTGTTGGCGCAGGGACCGCGGCTGGCTCCGTGGCGCGCGCCGGGGTCAGAGCACAGGCCACGAGAGAGGTCGCTGGCGGCGCGGGCCACGAATCGTGCGGAGACATTGCGACGCCTTTTGGCCGAGCCGGGCCTCCTGGTGGGGCCGTGCTGCCACGACGCCCTCAGCGCGAGGCTGATCGAGCGCGCGGCCTTCCCTCTCGCCTTCCTGAGCGGCTTCACGACGTCCGCCGCGCGCCTGGCCGCCCCCGACGCCGGCATGATCACCCTGACGGAGATGCTGGACGCCGGGCTGTGCGTGCACGAGGCCACGCGGTCGCTGCCGGTGATCGGCGACGGCGATGACGGGCACGGCAACGCGGTAAACGTGCGGCGGACCGTGGGGTCATTCGCGCGCGCCGGGTTCGCGGGCGTGATCATCGAGGACCAGGTGGCGCCAAAGTCATGCGGGCATGTCCGGCGCAAGCAGGTAACCGGCGCGTTCAATCATCTCCTTAAATGCTTTTAGTTGGCGAAATAACGGGCGCTTCGGCAATGCGATGCCCGCGATGCCGCTGGTGACCAAAGACGGGGCAACTTTCGGGAGTAGGTTTGTTGCCACTGCCGGGCTTCTTGCGGAATCTGCACAGCGGCGATCGAACAAACAGGAGCCAACGAGAAGTGAGCTAGTGCGTCTTGGGCGGCACATTGAAGCCTCGCCAGTGCGAAAATGGAGACGTTAAACTTGCCGTACCTTTGCAGATTCGAGCTGTAGCAGCATACACATCCAATTGCATGTTGATAACGATCGATGCCATCCACAGATTGCTTGGCTTTGAAGGACAAGAGCCCGCGCTGTGATTGATCCTTTAAGGCAGGCAATCTGTAACTCCATCAAAGTCGAGGACTATGCAAATTCAAATGCGCATCGAGACGTGAAGCCGCATCATTTCTCTTGGTGGGGGATATGTACCAACCTGAGATTGCAGAGAAACGATGTGAGACACCCCCATGGGTTGGATTACAAGTTAAAAACTGATGTCATGCATGTCACATGCAGAATGGAACAACATTATGTGGCAATACTCCACCATTGAGACACACCTGCTGTGTCCAGAACAGAGACTCCTTGTGTTGCCTGCGCACGTTGTGCATTGTGTCGCCTCTTTGTTCAAGGTTGCGCTGTGGCATTCCAATGTACTATTCTGAAGGCTCTAGAAAGTCACACCCGTGTGACTTGTGTCCATCACTGACTGTGGTTGGGGCTACTCAGGGCCGAATGCACTAGTGTGCAGATTGTTGGTCCAAGTCTACCCCAGGTGTGCCCTGCACAATTCTGGTGTGTGCAATCTGGAGTCGGCAGACTCCAGCGCCTTGTGGAGATTTCCCTGACAGTTTGAATGTGTTTACTTTGTGCACAAGGTCCTTCCACGAGGTGAGGCAGTCATGAAGATCCGTGCTGCAGTTGACGAACGCGAAGCTTCTGGCTCTGGGATTTGTATTGTGGCAAGAACAGATGCCCGTAGGGCGGAGTCACTGGAGGAAGCACTGTGGCGTGTGGCTGCATTTGTGGATGCTGGGGCAGATGTGCTGTTCATCGATGCGCTGGACTCTGTGGACGAAATGCGCAGATTTTCCCTGGTCAATCCAGGAGTTCCCAAGATGGCAAACATGCTTGAGGGTGGTCGAACTCCACTCCTAACCCTGGATGAGCTTGCAGACCTGGATTACAAGATCGTCGCATATCCATTATCCTTGCTTGGAGTCTCGATACGAGCCATGGAAACAGCTCTCGTAGGCTTGAAGCAGGGAAAAATCCAACCACCAGCAAAGCTTCCCAGCTTTGAGGCCATCCAGGAGGTGGTTGGGTTCCCAGAGTACTTCGATATGTGTGACAGATATGCCACAGATAATGCTGGGAGTGACACTGAGGCTGATGGTGGAAGTGCTTGGTCGTCGAAGTCATCATCGGTACCAGGTAGCAGGGATCCACGAAACCTGCAAGTGGAAGTGTCTCAGGACTTGGACGACATCGACACCCCCCAAAGTCGCAATGGCGTCTCAAGTCCAGGCGTTGTAGAGGCTGATGCCATCATCAGCCCTGATCAAGTAGGCCCTGGAGGTCCCCAACGTCAGGATGCGCCTGCTGAAACGACCACGAGCCAACAGGGTGCCCAGGGCTCAGAACTAGAGGTCGAGGTGTTGCAGGAGGCTGATGAAATGAAACTGATGAAGCCGAAGTCCATCAGGGTGTGCATCAGGAAGCGAGAAACGGGAGAGGTCGAATTTGAGACGAAAATACCTCCCAGCCTCATCGCTGGGGTTTCGTCCATTGTGCCCACTGTTGCAGATTTGGAAGCAATGCTGACAGCGGCTCTGGGGAGAAAATGGAGCCCCAAGGAACCAGTGATTAGCATCCCAAGCAACGGCAGCCAAATTGAAGTTTGGTTTGAGTGATTGGAAGGACGAAACTGTAGGCTGAGGAACCTTGCTGAAGCAGGAATATGCATTGACATTGCGACTATGGGTTTCACTGATAGCAGTTGATCAATGTGCTTGCGGGTTGAAATGGATGGCGTTGTTTTATCACCGCATAATTGAAGTCTCCCAGTAGCAGGCCAACGCCGCACTTGTGCTGCTGACAACTGTTGCGCTGTCCATCTGCTGCGCTCCTCAAATACCAAATCCCATTTCCTTAATATTGCAGTAATTGTAATTGCATAGTAGATACACAAGCATGTGCGAGACTCCCAGGTTGTGTTGGTGTCCGTTGTCCAGACAGTTCCTTTCCAACAGGAACGCAGATGGGCTCAAGGGCAAGCGGCAAGTGCAGCAGAAGTTTCCCTGTGGCAAGCTCGCACCCATCTCTTCTTGTCCAGAGCACTGTTGTCTAACACCCTGCACAACTGATTGAATGTTAGGGACTGTTTTATCAGCCATCGTCGGCACATCTCCTGTGCGAAGGTCTCTGGCTGATAGCCACCTATTCGGCTCTGCATTATGCCCCGTTTGGCTCGTGCTGTCGTCCCAGGACTCCATTCTCACTGTCAGCAAGATCGTGACCGTACATAGTGTATACTTGGAAGGTGTCGTCACGAATCCTACGTTTTTGTGACTATGTTGACGGCAGCAGTTCAGATGTGGAATTTGGACGGGGTGGGTAGCATCGCACCAGTACTGTGGGGAAGGCTGAGCTGTGTCAGCAGCGCAATCGACGAGGCAGCCACATACTAACTGTGCCCATAGTACTTTGCCAAAACCTGGCAGCAACACGATGGGGCCGATTGTTTGGAGCGTTGGGCAAGATCGTGGCTGGTTGCGGCACGGGGACTGTGAGAAAGGTTGCCAGCGGTGAACGGAAGATCGGCGCGCATTCTCCGCTCCCCATTGGAGTGCGAGCCTTGCTTTTCGAACCTTCCGCACTTGGCCTTGGAGGACTTGGCGGCGTGGCTTGTGGTGGGAAGCGGCGCTGCTGTCGATAATGAGCCATCAGTGACGCGACAACTTCCGCTTTTTTGGCCCCAACGGTTGGGCGGCACCACCAAGCCCCCCCGCGGCACTACAAAAGCGCCGCTTCCTCCCCCAGCGCCACACTTCCGCCTCCGACAGGTTCTGCTGCTCCACGACGTGGCTGCACTCCGAACAGACGCCTGCCGGCGGCCTCCAGTCAACAACCCCTCCCCCCATCGCCGTCGGGCCCGTCCATGAGCAGGCGGCCTGCCGCGCGGCGCGTCTGGGGGCACTCCGCTCCCCGCCCGTCGAACACAAAGGCCGCGCCCGTCCTCTCCCCTCCCCATCCTCGCGTCCTCATCTCGAGATCGCGCGGCCATGCGGCCGGCCCGCCCGCGCCCCTGCTGCCGCACGCCGGTGGTGCTGCGGGCAGCGCGCTGACGCGGCTGCGGTGCCGAAGTCTGGGCAAGGGCCGCGGCGAGGGCGGTGCCGTGACTCGGGGCACGGCCGGCGAGGACACCCTGGGCGAGATCCTCCTCCCGGAGCCCTCCGGCGACCGCATCGGCCTGTGGGATGCCTCCAAAGGGGTGCCCAACCTCTCGCAAGGGGCCCCAATCCGGAGGCTGGGGAAGGGCGGCCATGATGCGTCGGGCGGGGCGGAGTCGGGGCCGGGGCTGGAGACCTGCGCGGCCGCCGTGGCGCCAGCGGCGCTGGTCAGGCCGCGGAAGGCGCGGATGTTCGCGATGCCCAGCCTCGTCACCCGGCCAACCTTGGTCAAGCGCGACAGCGATCGAAAGGTTGTTGGACGCGCCGGAACCGGCGCTGGGTGGGGTTTGGGAAGATCTAGCCCCGCATCGGTGTTTTGGGGGCTCCCGGGGGAATTTGGGCCGGTGGTTGCGTGCTTTCTTTGCGATGGGCGAGCCGTACGAAAGCCAGCGAACGCGAGCGAAATAGCAGGCCACGGCATGCAGTGAATGAACGAGAGGCCGTGCGCAGCAACCCTTGAAGCACAGCCTCCGCGCGCCGCTTCCGTAGGCTCCTCCAGATTGTGGAGCGCCCTTGCAGGGGAACTCTGTGGAAAGGCCAGTAGTTCGCGAGGGATACTCGTCGATTGTTCGTGGGACGGGTGGACGTGCTCTGCTTCCCCCATATACCAGCCAACCATCGAATCCATGAGCTCAAGAAAGAAAGCAGCAGCTTGAGACCAGTTTCGAACAGCACTGGGCCGGTGGGCGCTGCAGGATGGCACTAGAGTTGGCATTTTGAGGTCGCTGGTGTTTGGCACCAACGGGTGCTCTTTGCATGTTCAAGTAGCTGGGCGTCATTTTGTAGTGCCATGGGCCACAGCGCCAGTCGTGTGGACCGCTTCCCAATATGTCCTGAGTGTCCATGTTCACTACAACCCACCCTAAACTTTGCAATTTGGAAAGTCGCACCATTGCTGTGCTGGCTTTCCGATCTAATCTGTCTGTTGTTTTCTCTGGGTTTGAAACAGCTGCAGGACGAGAGCCCAGCCCGACAGCTGTCAGTATTGCTAATGGTGTCCTGCTCGTGTTGTTCCCAAAGGTCCTTCTGGAGATACTCTCCCTGGCAGTGCCAGGGATATGCGTGGTGATCGCTGACCCGTTGTTCTCCCTTGTCGACACGGCGTGTGTTGGCCAGATTTCTTCTGCCCAGCTGGCAGCCCTTGGACCAAACACTGCAATATTCAACTTTGTGTTCCAGGTACGGCTCGGTGCTCTGCCTTTGCTGACATTACTCCAGTGTCCTGCCCTCCTTTTGTGCGTTGTTTGTGTGTTTTGTGTGATCTACCTGATGCAGGACAATTTCCCTGTGAATGGGAAGGATCATTGCTGTGTGGCTGTTTTGCAGAGATCGGGTGCTGACCTGACTTGCGTAACCTGAAGTGGCCCAGATGGGGTACACAGTGTAAAGCTTGCTGGCCCCACACCGCAAGGCAATGTTGTTTGATGAATGAGACTATGTACGATTGCGTTTGTACTCGCTGGATTGAATTGCGTTGCATTGCTCATGTCCATAAACGTGTAGATCTGAGTTGCAGAGGCACATTTTAATAGCAGAGCACATATGCGCCTGCAGGGGGCCTTATGACTCCTGGTCTGCAGGGTCTCAACAGCGAACATAAGTATAGCAGCCATCCTTTACCAGTATGCATTGTGGAGCCTTGCTCATTTCCGTAGACCTGTAAATCTGAGTTCCACATACACCCGTGAGGAGCAGAGCACAGATGCAGCTGCAGGGGTCTTAAGTTGCCACTCCTGGTCTGCTGGATCTCAACAGCGGACATAAATAAGGCAACTGTGCCCATCCAACAGGCAATTTGAAGCCTTGATGTTGTGGCTTTGGCAACCTGTGCACAAATGCCGTAATGCCATTGCAGATCATAGTAATGGAGGTGTACGGCGTACATAATGTAGTCATCCCTATGTGGAAAGTGTCCTCAAAAATCTTGGTTCAGACAGCCTCTGATCTGCCCAATTCATAGTTCATTAATGTTGCGTAGAAACACTCGGATCCAGTATGCATGTGCACATCAACACTACCCAATTCTTGCTTGGATATCACGCTGGTTGGAATGGATAGTCAACTGGACAGTGCATTATGTCGAGACAACTTTGTGACGCTATTGCGAAAAGCTGTTGTGTTCGCTGGGTCCAATGCACTGAAGTGGATCGCCCTTGTAGCGGGAAGCCATGCAGCCAACGATTGGTGGGCCATCAAATCCTGAAGGTCCTGTTTGACCGCAGAATACGGCAAGTTCTGTTGTGTTCGTGTTTGCCAGATAAGGGTGCTTGGGGAAAAAGCATGTTTGGCAGATGAGTGTGACGTGAGAATTCCCATGGCAAGTGCCAGATAGCTGGATAGTGGCAGTCACCTATTATGGCCAATGGGTGGTGCATTGTGTGATGCCAGGGTCAGGCCCACCATTGTCTCTTAATTATGTTGAACGTGTATGGACACAGTGCTTTGTGCTCTGCTGTTTGCTTGACACCTTGCTTCACAGCCCACTTCTGCCCTCTGATGCCTTTTGTGCTCATGGTTGCAGCTATTCACCTTCCTTGGAATGTCCATCGCAAATGCACTTGCTTCCAACAATGTGCATTCGCCAGGGCTGACGCAGACGGCAAGAAATACACGGCGGGCGTTCTCTGAGTCCATGCTCTGTTATTCCTTGACCATTGCTGCTGTTCTGGGATGCGTGGCTACTGCGTTGCTCACCATGTCAGGAGAGACCCTCTTGCGAGGGATGGGTACCAGTGCACATCTGATGAAGTACGCCCTGCCTTATCTTCAAATCCGGGCCCTGGCAGCCCCTGCTGTTTTCATAACGCTTGTGGCCCAGGGCGCCTGCCTTGGGCAGCAGGACATGTGGACACCAATGAGGGTTGTGTTGGTGTCTGGCCTTGTCAACTTGCTGGGCGACCTGTGGTTGATTCTGCACTTCCAGCTTGGGACAGTGGGGGCAGCAGCTGCAACCACAGTGGCTCAATATGCAGGAGCTGCATTTTTTCTGTGGTATCTGCATCACAAGGGAAAGCACGGGAAGGGTGTGCCTTTGAAGTGGAAAGGACTGCCAAGAGTGAAGGAGATGTGGCCGATGTTGAGCATGGCAGGGGTGCTTGTACAGAGGTCCATCAGCTTGATGGTGGTGTACACTGCCCTGACTGCAGCAGCGACAAAGCTTGGAACTGTCGAGGCTGCAGCACACCAAGTCGCCCTGCAATTCTTTTGGCTCCTGTCATGTAAGTGCGATCGACCGAGTTCTTTTGGGATGCATTGTTGCTGACCACAGTATACAACACCTTGGCAACCTCATTTTCACAATGAGCGCTGCTGTCAATGCATGCCAACTGCGAGTTGGTCCTTGCTTGTGCTGGTATCGGTCTGAAGATAAGCTTTGGAGCACTGTTGTCCAGCTCTTGGTGTTGACATTGGAGTGGTGACTTGCAGATTTTACGGAGCCATTCTCCTTGACCGCACAGACTTTGATCGCACGCGATGCGGCGGACCCAGTGAAGGTGCACCGCTTAGCGTACATTCTGCTCTTCCTGGGTGGCTTGACAGGCGCTGTGCTGGCGCTGGTGCAAGGCTGCGTCCTGCTGGGATTCCCACACATCTTCTCATCCGACCCAGCCGTAATATCGGCCGTCCAGATGGTCGCCCCCCACGGCATGCTTGCTTTGATTGTCTGCTCCCTGGCCATGATATGCGATGGCGTTAGTATTGGGTCCAGGCAAATGAACCATCTCCCACGGTTGACTGCAGTGTCTATGCTGGTCGTGTTCTGGACACTCGAATTTGGAGCCCAAGCGGGGCTGGGACTCCATGGGGTGTGGTTGTCAATGGTGGCGCTGTTTGGGTCGCGAGTCTGGCTGCATGCCATGTATGTGAAGCTGCATTGGAGGCGCAGCATATTCGGCGAGAACCGTGTGGCAGTGCCTGCTTAGGAGAAACCGCACGTGGCCATGTGCGAATTTGCGGATGGATGCCAAGGGGGAATGTTTGAACCTGTCTCTGGGTCGGAGGGGTGCTGGCGTGTCATGGAGCGAACAAATGATTCGTCTTTTCTGACAGAAAGCAGCATAGATAGAGTGTACAAGCGAATTCGAGATGAAAATTTGTTGGCTTGAGTGTGAGGGTGGACACAGAGTAGGACTCGTGGTGGGAAATGGTTGCCTCGGGTTCCACACACAGGAATTTGTGACGGAATAAGCGCTGAAGGGCTTCCGACACCAGGAGGCCTCCCGTTTTGCATTCTATCATGTCGTCTGTGCCGTAGCCAACGGGCATGGCACACGAGTCGCCCATTTTGTTTGAACCATTGTAAAACATTGGGATGCCTGAGTGATTGCAACACCGCCACACCACTGCTGCAGCCCAGCCGCAGATGGTGCTGCGGAAGACTGCAATGTGCCGTTGCCTTGCGTCGGCTGGAAAGAGTGCCCAATGGAATGACAGAAGGCTGCCCCTCGTCTTGTAGACAGCGTGCCCTGTCATACCGCTTTGGGGCCTGTTGGCCTACGAACCTGAATGTGGCCTGGCGACTCCCATCGCGTCTAAAAGCAGCACTCCAGGTGCAGTGGGCCTCGGGCTACGAAATGTTGACCTGTTGCTGCGTGGGATAGGGACAAGGCCTGTAAGGGGGTGTAAGGAGGTGCCGGGCCTGTTGCACCTTCGCTTGGAACCGATTGACTGGCCATTATGAGATTGATTTCGGCCCTGTTGAGCGTGCGCACCAGGATCCCGAGGAAAGAATCCCAAGGGCTTGAGGGGGTAGCAAGGAGCAAGGACCATCCCAGAAGACTGCAGGAACGATATTTGTGGACTTCGGAGGACTGTTGCCCACTACTGTCAATGTTCTGTGCCTTATAGATACAAAGATAGCTATATCCAACCACTGAAACACTCTCCTTCGCGACATTTTCTCTCTTGATGGGATTTCCACCTGACCGGTCTCCTGAACCCACCCGGCCATGTTCCCCACACGACAAAACATTACAACAAAGGTGTCCATCACCGACAACTCCACATACCCGAGGTCCCCGTACTTAACAGTTTGCCCTTTCGCTTCGCCCTAACTTTACTTCACGTTTCTCCCGTGACAGAAACCCTGAGTCACCCTCTTTCCCGTACTGCCGTACACTCCGTCCCATTTTCCCCTCAACTCAACCGAACTCCACTCTCTAGGGCGGGAGGGCTGGGTGCGAAACAAGATAGGAGGGGGACTGAGGGGGGAGCCTAAATAGCCGCCCCCGCTCAGCCCCGCCAAAGCCCGCCAAGTCCAAGCCGCCAAAACGGGCGGACCCTTGGACACTCCGTACTTTGACTGACCCAAGGTACTAGGAAGGGCCAGAAACCCGTTTGAATACGATTGCGCCTGATTCGAAACTCGGGGCAACCCACCCAACGTCGTCCTGGGCGGAAACCCCTTAACAAGATAGTTAATGTCATTTCCACCTGACCGGTCTCCTGAACCCACCCGGTCATGTTCCCCACACGACAAAACATTACAACAAAGGTGTCCATCACCAACAACTCCACATACCCGAGGTCCCCGTACTTAACAGTTTGCCCATTCACTCTCCAAGGGCACGGGAAGCACCACCGGGGCAGAAAATGTGCCCAAACTGGGCGTGGAGGTCGCGGGCGGTTATCATCATCCACCCGAACAAACGAAAGTCCCACTCAGTGGGTAAACGAAAAATGTCCACGTAAGACCACATGGAGTCAGACTTCCAGCCCCCCCAGTCCCGAATGCGCCGCTCGGCGACCTCCAAAGCAAAGCAACTGGACGCACCGCCGCCGCGAAGGCCGTGGAGCGTGAAAGGTTCACGGGCGACGGTCGGGTGGTGGGCCAGCAAGTCCGTAAACCAAGCCGCCACCGTCTTGGAGCCGGGGGACGCCTCGCCAGGAAGCCGGTAGAAATGGCGAGGCGCCTGGTCCGTTTGCGCCCAGGCGCAGTCGCGGAAAGCCGTCCAACGGAGGATGAGCTCGACCACCTCCGGGGCGCCCTGGGAGGGCCAGGACCGAAAACGCAGACGAGGGGCTGCATCCTTGTGCAACTTGGACTTGCGCTCTCGAAATAAAACGACGCCGTCCGCCACCCAGATGTCCTCCGCCAGCACAAAGTGGCCGGACTGGGCCCGGTTAAAAAAGATGTAGTCGATGTATGCCGCGCACGCCGCCCGAAGGTAGAGCCCATTCTCCGTGGTCAATCCCACATCGAGGATGCGAATCATCACCTCGATGGGCACAGGGCGGTGATGTTGCACGGGGGTTGGCATATCCCGACGCCATGCACAGGTGAGGACACGGGTGACCGGGTTGAAGGCAGAAAAGCCAAGGTGCCCAGACATGTGGTGCACCATGGAGATGGCCGCGAGATACTGCAGCAAAGAACGAACATCCACCTTGCCTTCCTCATGTAGGAACCGAATGTAGCGGTAGATGGTGGCGCGACGAGCGGGCAGCGTGTAATGCGCACCGCCTTTACAGTATATCACTTCACCAGTACTTTACCAGGAGAGTGTCTGGATTGGCAACGGCATCTCTAACCTATCCCATCCTTGGGAATATCAGGCAGGCCATAGTACTGGAGTACTTGGCGCTGTAACAGGACTATCCAGTAGTGGATGAGTCATCAGGGATCAGAGTGACCCGCCGGTCGCCAGCCGGTGTACTGCGAGAGATGGGTGCAGTACTTAATGGGTCTTGGAGTCTAGTCTGGCGTTCTTTTCCCCTCTTGGCGCCACTGCGCGCTACACAGTGGCTGCAAGGCATGCGCCTCGCAAAAGGCCTGGAAACGCAGGAACTTGGCCTGCATAGTCCGCCGGGTGGCCTCAGTATAGGAGGCAAGGAACTGCTGCGCCATCCAGCTTCGATCGTTGGCCAGTAAGCCATCCACTTCGGTGCTGTACAGCGGATGGTCCTTGGGGACCGGTTCCTAGGGGAACGGATCTGAAGGAGGCTCCCCAGCGGGAGGCGCCAGAGCCTCCAGTTCGCTCAGGGCGTCATCGCCGGTGGGGTCCGCAGTGTCGTCGGGTGCGTCCTCGGCACCACATGGAAGGCGCGCAAATTCCAGCGCGGATGCGGAAGGGAGGACGGGAGGCTCGGATCCCCGGGGAGAAAGAGGTTGGGCTGGTGGGGAATGAAGATCTCGGCCCGCGCCATCGCCCGGAGGCGGGGAAACCAAACCGCGCTCGGCCAATCCGGCGCTAGCACCACGGCGTCCAGCTGCGGCTTCGAGGCGAGGAAGGCGACAAGCCTTGCGATGAGGCTCCACGGGGGATTGCACCAGCTGCGCATCCCCGTCCAGTTCTGTGCGAAGGCGCCGACGCCCGACGTACCCACATCCCAATGTTGACTGTTGTAGGCCTTGCAGAGGGCATTCCGAGCGGACGCAAAGCGGTCCACTGAACAGGCCCCGAAGTGGTGGGCGACCTCCTGGAATATGCGCGGATTGAGCCGGTAGTCCTCCGAAGTCCGTATACACGAAAGCCTGTCCGGGAGGACATTGTCCGCTGATCGAATGTACTCGGGTTCCAGGAGCAACTTCCGCGTTGCACAAATAGCTTGCAACTGGCGAAGGGGCCTCAAGAGACCGGCTGACTTGGTAGTCATCGAGTTGAGGCAGTGCAGAACCACGTGGTTGTCCACGAGCAAGCGAAGCCGGTGAGAAGTGGTCCTGGGGCACCGGCGAGGAAAGAAAGACAGCAGGGCCAAGTATACGCCCTGCATTTCACGGACATTGATGTGAATGAGCTCCCGATCAAAGAATCCGCGGGCGAGAAGGGGTTGATCACCACCAAGAGGCGTAAAGGTGGCCCCCCAGCCGGTGAGGCTGGCGTCCGTAGCTAAGGTGCCCACCAGCTTTAAGGATGCGGAATTGAGCGACCTGCCTACCAACCGACCGATCTGGGCCCAGGCGGCCAATTCCAAACGAGCTGCGGTGGTCAAACAGAGCCGATCTCGCCAAGAGCGCTTGCCGCGCAAAAGAGAGTAGAGATCCGTCAAGAAAAACCGTGCCAATGGAAAAGCCAAGTACAAAGAAATGGCGGAGCCACAGAACTTGGCCAGATCCCGAGCGACAATGAATCCCCATCGACTAATTTCCTGGGCCCACCGCGAAATGGCCGCAACCTTGTCCAAAGGGACCTGAAATTGGCACTGATTGGTGTCGATCATGATCCCAAGGTGTTTCTTGCGTTGGACCGGCTCCCACTGACATTTGGACTCCTTAAAAGCGAGCCCAAGAGCGGCGAAAACCCAGCGGACCAAACTGGACCATTGGGTGAGCCGCTGAGGATCCGACATGGCAGCAATGAAATCATCTATATAGGCCAAAATCAGCGCGGGAAGCTCCCGTGAGTACTGGAGAGAGTACTGGAGAATGGAATCCTCCCCCGCTAATCGACCAAAACGAAAACGAGTGGCAACTTTCGGACAAGAGCTGGGGGTCCTTAAGAGATGAACCACTACCAACTAGAGGTGGCCACCCGGATCCGTTAATAACGGACGAGGGTGCCGTCCGTTAAATATCCGTTAATTTAGCGGACCCCGCTCTCTCTCTTGCTGACGTGGCACGGATGGCAGCGGACGGCTGGTGCCAGTCAGCGGACTCTGCGGATTCCGCTTGGGCGTTAACGGATATTTTCCAACGGACCGGAAGCCGCGCACCCCATCC